TCCATCAGGTGTATTGGCATCTGAAGATTTGGGATGCATCCCACATCACTACTATCCTTTGCAAATGCTGCTGACTCCTCATATAACATCTGCTTGACAATTTCCTGCTGTCTCTCTTCCAGGTGGCTAATGTCTATAGGGGGATGCCATAAAAGCGGTGGGGCCTTTCCTCCATCAACTACCTCAGCACTCCATATCTCCACTCTGCCCTTCTGTCCATCAGGTGAGTCAGTCTGTACTATCCTATCAATTGGCTGAATACTGCCAAGTATCATTTTCTGAGGTAAGGTGATATCATGTTGAGTATGATTCCCCATTGGTATTACTACGTATGGATTCCTGTGGTTCTTGACCTCTAACAAGCCTTCTCCTACGTCTATGGCCTCCAGGTGTTCATTATCATTCGGCTCGAACAGTAATAAGGAGTCTGCATAATCTACACCAAATGGCACCCTGCATCTAATCCATGCGACCTGGCCTGCTGTAATAACGACACCTTTGGATCCTATTCGTAGATCTCCTTGTGGTATGGTCAGTTCCTTTGCCTGGACTGCATGAACAATGGTCTTTGCTTCGGTATTGGTAATAGCTACTGCACCACTAAGTAAACTGACGAGAGTAGGAATCAACCTTTCAGGCTGTCCTTGAATCAGTTCCTCCAGCACATTAAACCCCAATAGTGGTTTCTCAATAGCCACATGACTCACTAAAAAAGGAACATTGATTGACAAACTGGGTTCTGTGTTGCCAGGTAAGTTAACGGCAATGGCGACCCACCCGTCAAATGGAATCCGATCACCACTTACTGCATACACTTCCAACATCTCATCAACTCCCAACAGTTCAGAGAATGGTCTTATCTCAACTTTGGGTAGGTATCTATCCTTCCAACTGCGATCAATAATGCTGACCTGGGCTCCAGTGTCAAGTAAGGCAGTTACTGCCAGACCATTTAGGATGCACTGTATCAATGCTTTCTTTCCAATGAGCTTGATGACTGGATCGTTTCGGGTAGCTGGTAGCGGTGTTAGTGGTGGTGAGCAAGGCTGACTTTGCATTTTTTCCCTCTTGTGTTTTGATGCAACCTCAGACGGCTGGCCACAACCTCCCCTATGGGTAGCTGAGGCCTGAATACCGTTGGGATGGGACTCACCTGCCAGACTGGTCACTGCTTGTCCCTCACCAGTGACCCACTCCTGTTTCCCTGATCCTCACTTTTCCCAAGACACCCCCTTGCTCTGTGTCCCTCCTTGCCACACACAAAGCAGTGGGTACAGTGTGAGCTGCCTGCCTCAACACATTTAGGACAGCCATAAGGTCTCTCTCGTTTGTGTAGAGATGGCTTATAAGACTGACATTTACATGTCGGTTCTGCTTTTCCAGGTGGTACTGACTGTCTCATTGAGTCAACCAGACTTGTTAATGCATCAATTTTTGCAGTGAGCTGTTGTAGGACATCTTTATCTTGAAACTTTTGTTTGAGGTCATGACTCTTTTGTGTATCAGATTTTAGCTGTGCACTGTGTGCAACCATCTGTTTAGGTCTAGTTGCCACACCGAGCCTGCGTTGTCGTTCACCCTCGTCACTGGTAATTTTTGTCACCTGTCTCAATATTGCTTCCTCACTCACAGTACTGTCTGACAAAATTGGTTTTAGCTCTCGCCGAAGATCACTATGCTTGTGACCCAAGCCTTGATAAACAGTATGTAAAAAGACACCTTGGATTGTCTCTGGGCTATACTTAATGTCCGTATCCGCTTGTTTAGATGCAAAGAGAACTTTCTGCTTTAACCCAATGACTCGATACAGAAACTGCTGTGGTGTCTCTGAATCACTCTGTTTAGTACACATTAGTTCCTGAAGGAGTTCAGTGCTATTTCTGTCACCCAAATGTGACCGGAGGAACACCTTCAGCTCCTCTACTGTCATGTCCTCTTTGTTCATGAGCATATCCTTAAAATTTCCAGGCTTTACTATCTTCAGTACACCTCGGACAATTTCTGGATTGCTAAAATTTTCCCGAACACCCTCTTCAATCTGTTTGCTTAAGCTGTTATAAGTTATATCAGAGGTATGATCACCGATTTGTCCCCCTTGCACCTTGAACTCTCTACGATGGAGGTAGGGTAGGTCTTTATAGGAAACAAACTTCTCTGTTACTGTATTAACATCACTGGGAGGCTGATGGCTAACAGGGAGAGTTCTGGTGTCAACACTCACTGCAGGTGTATTTACGAGCGGTACTGTAGGAAAGGGCATGCACTGGTGAAGTTTCCTGCCTAATTCCTCATAACTAGTTAACATTCTCTGTAAGTAATCACCAGACCTATCCTCAACTAAGCTAGGGTTAGCAGCAAAAGTGGAAGTAATGTGCTGTTTTGTGCCCTCTGGGGTCATGGTGTCTATGTGATCTGAATCAATCTGTGGTGTCCCTGTCCCTGTGTTGTGTAACTCACTGTTTG